ATATTCTTATTTTTTTAAAATGATCAAATCAAGTTTTTATGCTCAGAATGCCAATGAAGGACCTTCTCGAATGCAAGCGTCCGACTGCATGGATTGAGTTTGAAAAGGGCATGATTGATGAGGTACACAAAAAGCAGACATGGAAAAGTTACACTTTCTATGTCTTTCTTGCATAAAATCTCCACACAGTAACATAGGTAAGTGTTCTCTTAAAACATTTAATATTAAAATGTAAACCTTAAAATTTTACTTTTCCACTGCATTTTAAGTGCTGTGGAATTTCAAAAGCCATAATAAAAGTTGCTTGGCCTTTTTGGGGGTGTTTAGATTTGCAGAATCTGCTTTTGGGTTGTTTTTCTCTTTTTACCTGAGTGGTTGTGTGAAGAGAGCATAATGCCATGAAGTTGCAGGAATTGTAGCCTCTTTGTAATTCTCAATTTCAAACCCATAATAAGATCCTAAAGTAGTAATGACAAAGACATCTTTTGACTTATAAAGCTTAGGCCCACTCTCTATTTGAAAAGGAAAAAAGCTTAGACCCACTCTCAAATCAAGTTCTGTATAACTTCCTCAAAGGGAGGAACAAACAGACGGACTTAATTGCATTATTCAAATGTACCTTTGATGCTTCAACATTGACTGCCCTTAGCATTTGAGGATTGCTCTCTTGGACCAAATAGTGTTAAGTTACAAGCTCTTATGCTCATTTACAAACAGTTCTATTTGACATCCATTTGAAGTAGTTTTGGCTTTCCATCACGTCTATTTCTTATTATCCTGGTATTGCGAAACTGGAAGCTGTGGATTGTAAATTCAAAACTTAGGATCAGATCCTCCAAGAGTTTTGATCTCCCCTGCTTCATGTTCCCCGGTATTGCAAAACTGGAAGCTGTGGATTGTAAGCTCAAAACTTAGGATCAGATCCTCCAAGAGTTTTGATCTCCCCTGCTCCATGCTCAATCATCCATGAAAAATGCTGGAGGACACCAAGCACAGGGGAAGGTCCAATTGAGGTTGGTGAGTTGGTTTTTCTTTGTTTTCACCCTTATCAACAACATTATTTGTGTCATCTAAAAATCTGTCTTTATGGACATTTCCTGTTGGAGCAAAAATGGGTTAGGTGGCTTACAAGTTGACCTTGCTAGTGAAATAAAGGATACATCCAGTGTTTCATGTTTCCTGCCTTAAAAACTTTTATGGTACTGAAGCAGCTCAGGCTGCTATGGCCCCTCATGTTTAGGTGGAGCTACTGGCTATTCCTCAAGCTGTGCTTCATTCTCAACTGCATGTTGACTGCCAGAAAATTTTGGTTCAGGCTCTCCTTAGTGGAAGCTTCTTGGAAAGATATGGTGACTGTGCAGGAATATTCATTAGCCTTAATGTTTGAGAACAAACAGTTTGTCAAGGACCGGCAGTAATGCTAGGGTCAGAACTGAAAACACTAATCAATTTATTGGCATAATATATGTACGAAAGTTCGCTGGCAAGAAGTGGAAAATTCCTACTGCGGCATGAAGTCTACTTTGATTCTGTCTTTAGGTTCAGATGTATTTTTTTCTTAAATGTAAACGGTAAAATGTATCAAAGAATGAAAGGTAACAAGGGAGTACCACTCATGTACAAGATATTTACAAGTTAGTTAATGTATCAACTATATATCCAAAATCCTCCAACTTATAAATGTTATGTCCCAGTAAAATAGACTCAAAATAATGAAACCATCTATCCTTTAATTTATGAATTTCATTTTCCATTCTTTCAAAAACTCTACTATTTTTTTCTTTCTAAATGACTCAAAATATAGTCAAATGAATGAGTTTAGCAAATGTTTTTTTTTTTTTACATAAGCTTCCCCAAGCCCAAATCTCATTCTTGACCAACCCCGCAATGATCCAGGAAATCTCAACCAAACCATACACCATAGACCACAAAGTATGGACCACCAGGCACCAAAGCAGTAAGTGGTTGCAAGTTGCCGTTGTCTTCTTGCACAAAGAAGATCTATTCACCCAGACTCTATCTCTCCTCATCAGTTTATCAATAAATGGTTAAAATACATTCTCAACCTGCTTTTCATGGAAAAAAGCAATTCTATGTATACTTGTTTTCCAAACTTGTTTGGCCGAGAAAAGCTGCCCCCCTCCAATTCCTCTCTAGTTGTCAAATAGTTATACAAAGATCTCACCGTGAAAGAGCCATTCTTATTCAATTTTTACACAAGCTGGTCACCACACGGATTCAGTTGAACATTGGCCAGGAGTAGTAGTAATGCTTCATATTCCTCCACTTCCCAGTCATTCAGATTTCTAGTCGCATTAACCAACCACTCCCTACTGGAATAATCACCCCCAACCACTTCCATCACCATCATATTCTTCAACTGAGCAATGGTGTATATCTGTGGGAATTGGTCCTTTGGGCACCCCCTTCCCAACCAATTATCATGCCAAAAAAGAACCTTATCCCCTCTACCCACCTTCCAGGATACACAATCATGAAAAAGCTGCCTCCTTGCCCCAAATACTCTGCCAAAATTATTAAGTGTAATTTTAATATATAAATTAAAAGAAACTTTCAGAAGTAGTGTTTGGATTATATTACAAAACTTTTATTCTGTTAGGTGTTAGCTAGGAAACAATCTGATACTTGTAACTAAAGGTTGGTTAGCTCAGCCTCTTCTATGTCTGTAGCTCTTTGAATTTCAATAAAGTATCTGAACTATTATTGACTTTGTTGAGAGCAATCTTTAAGAGGTCACGGGTTCCCTCAAACCATAACTATCACCATAGGGAGGCAAGGTGTGCCAATTAAATAAACAAGTTTTTTTGTAAGGAAACTTTGTGCTTAACTGTCCCGTGACATGATCACAAAACCAGAGTTATAACAGTTTATTCTCCCTTTTATACTCTCTTAACATGATAGAAAGCACCATAACTTGAATAGTCTTGTCATAATTCAAAGAGAAAATGTAGGCAAGTGTTGAATTCAGTGAACTGTGTGGTTATGAAGCAACAATGATGAGAAATATTGACACTGATTTGTCGCTATTCTAGGAAGCTAGAATTATGGTGGAAAGCTTACAATCATTGAGAAGAAGTCCCTTGAACGGACATGGTTAGAGGTAATGAATATGTGGAAAGGAGAGAAGCAAATGTTCTTCATAAAAGAACAGGGGCATCCGAGGAGTAAGAGATGGTACAGAGGAGTATGGGAAAGGGAAGTAGGAGGATAGCTATTTAAGCTTATTTTCCTCAATATGAAGGGCTTTCTTGTGATGTGCTTGCTTTCCTGCAAATACTAATAATTGTACCTGGCAAACATACAGTTGGAAAGAAAAAGGACAACCAAGAAAAAAGGAGAGAAATTTCTTGGGTCCTTATGAATGTATTAACTGAGTGGAAGATCCAGCAATCTGAATACAAACATATAAATGCCTTTAAACTCATGAAAAAGATATTGCACTTATGCTCGTCCCTTCTTGAAGTAAGCGATGTGCTATATTAATTCAGTTCTTGGAGATGCAGATCCTTTTTGTTTTAAGAATTGTAGGGTTTAAGATAAAGAGACATTATTTCTGTTTCTCCTGGTAGAACATTTAGTAGGAGGTTTCCAAAGGCATTACAGGGTGGGTTTTAATCAGGATCTCATGTTAGTTAGTGGCAGCTTGAAAAGATGTTTCTTTCTTGATCTTTAAAAGACAAAAAAAGGTATTTTTGTTTCTCATGCAATATTAAGGAACATAAAACACACCTTTCCCAAGGGAACTAAGATGCAATCTATGAAATAAGGTGCTAATTTTTAGTGTCTCCATAGCTTTTTCTTGATCTTTCCAACTTGCTTTGAGATTCTCTAATTTTTTTAAAGCTTTCATTTTTTGAATTAAAATTTTCTCATCATGCTTTATTTCTTCTCAGGCGGAGCTAGGCAGGAAATTCTTTAAAGATGGAAAATCTTTTGATTTGGAAGGTTTTGAGAACTTCATTTAAGAGCTTTTGTTGGATTATGTTAATGCTAGCAAAGTGTGTTAAATTCAATGTAAACATGTCATTTAAGATTCTAACTGGATTTTCTTATTAGTAGCGATTGCTCCATTTATTTTTTTACATATAGATTCTAATTATCCATTTACAAACTTTTGTAGTTGTTAATACTAAAATATGTTGATTCCAGTTCTAATTATGAGAAGAACAGTAATGCCTTTCTGGGATGTTTGCAACTGTAAATTCCTTGCAACATGTCTCTCGCTTACAACTAGTAGTTTACCTAAATGTATTTTTTCTTTCTTTAGGACGAGGACAATGTTGTTTGTTGAGTTCAGATTTAAATGCTCTATTTCAAAATGCACTGTACAAATCTTATGTTCGGTAGTGCTTGACAACCACGTGCCGTGTGCTAAATATGTAACAAGAGAAATTGGCACGTTAACGTGTGTTGATTGGTTACCTATAACTTTATTTTTTTTTGCTAAATCTTATGCATTTTTTGTACTTGGAATGTGGCAAAATGCCCTTCCGCTGGAGCCCTGCAATGTGGCAAAATGCCTTGAGCAAATTCAATGTCTGTTTCTTTAGGGCGACCTAGAGCAGAACAGGAGTTTCAATTTCGTGAATTGGACTTTTGTGTCATGTTCACACATTGAATAGTTGAAGTCTTGAAAATCTTCTATCCAATTTAATTCTTAGGATCAATCAATATTGTTGTAGGCCAGCAAAAGTGCAGCATAATATTATAGTTGTTGGAATATAAATAATAAAGTTGAGCTATTTTTTCTACTTTAATTTTTTTGGATATTCGATTACACAATCTATTATTTAGTATCATATAACACTAAAATCCTGGCTTCTGATGTTGGTAGTCTTGATTTCTCACTG